ATTGAAAGCTACAGACTTAAAGAGTTTTTTTAATAGTATATAGATACAACTCAATTTTAAAATGAATTGCACTTCAATTCAAAGTCCGAGAATGGATGTGTTCCATTAAGCTCAACTTCAGAGTCCACTACACAACGAGAGGCACATAATCATCTTTTCTGCAAGAGATTAAGTGTAATATATCCAAAGTGTACTTGCTTTAAGTTGCCTTGAAAGACCCATAAAATGGTTCGTGAGCTGTGTGGCTCTGCCTTATGGCAAAACAAGGTATTGGCCAGAGTCATGTAACATGTTACGTTAATAAACTAAGCCTTTTTGCAGAACTGCAGAAAAATAAAAAAAGAACATTTTTATTTTTCTCCCAAATTTCAACACATCATGTATACAAGAATTTTAAAAAGAGGATGAAGTTTAATATTGTACGAGTCTGAGAAAATAGGTAAATTCTTAGTATGCTGTCATTACTAATAATGTGCAGTGGGAGGGATTTTTCTTTTTTACTGCTCGATTAGCTATCTATAGATAACACAGATCAAAATAGCTTTGTTAAAACAGCCCAAGGAAACTTTGCCCAGCAAATCACACAGGCACTTGCAGTTGTGGCATGTGCATCTTGGAAGGACTATTTCCAATTATTTATTGTCCACTACATCTGACAGTATTTTATCAAGTGGAATATTTAAAGATGTACATCCTGCTACCTTAGTTCCGGAGTTCCTTGAGGCCTTCACGCCTACCTCTACTGGCACAAAGCTTTTGAGGATCACTGCATAAGCTAGGATTTAGCAACATGGTCCATATGGGCATCACAACACGTGGAGCCCTTCAGATGCCAAGTTAATTTTATTTATTTGTTCAATTTCTATAGCTGCCCTTCTAAATTCAATTGACTCTGGGCAACAAACAATGTCACAATAATTAAAACCAAAAAAAGACAAAAAATTACAAATTATACATTTAGGCAACTGAAAATTATAATTACCTAAAAATTAATAGTGCAGTCAGGTAACAGAGCCTCTAACACTTTCAAGACTCCAGGCTTGGGCACATCTTTAAAGCCTTAGGATAGGTTAACAGGGTTGAGGCCACGCTAAGCTTTGAAGGAAGAATGTTCCAAAGGGCAGGGGCTACTGCCAAGAAGGTACTTCTCTTCATCCCCAACAGCCAATATCCCTTGGCTGACAGGACTGCAGCATCCCCAGTCTACTAGGCCAAATTGGACAGGTACTGAATAAACTACTGAGAGAAGACAGCCCTTTTTAATTTAAAAGCTTGGGAATTCACGCAATCTCACAAGATTTGGGTATTTTCAAGTGAAATATTACACAAGTTAGGATCAAAATCCAATTTTTTACAAAATTTCTTGATTATGTGAGATACTGGCCATTATTATTATTTATTATTATTTATTATTAATAATTATTATTATTATCGCTGCTATTATCATCACCAGAGTATCAATAGTTCTTCAATCATTTGTTAGGTTATTTGTCCTAAACTAAAGCAATTCAAGAAAAGATGGGTGGGTACAGGTAATCATCAGAAGTCGAACTTAGCCTGGTGAGCATCAACGTTTTTCAGAGGTCCTCAGATATCTATGCCCTGAAACACTTCCACATACCATTGTTATGAAGATCAGACTTTGATAGTGAATACCCACAATTCTCTTATTTAAATAAGGCAAGACATCACCCTTACACCTATCACCCCACTGAATGAAACATCCCACTCTAATTTCTCCTGTAAAGGAACCGATAATCACATACTTTTGCCACACACAAATATGGAACTTTAGATCATTTTCCTCAATAAATAAGTGAACAAATATAACGCTTTTAACTTATTTGATTGGGTTTTTACCCAGTTTTAGGACCGTGGAGAACAGATCACGTTTTAGGTCATATTGTGCAAAAATGTTGAAAACCCAAAAGGGTTCACAAACATTTAAACATCACTATTTACTACGAAGGTAGAATAAAACTAGAAAATGGGACTAAAAAGATAGTTATCTTAAATTCCATGATTAGGTTCTCATGCTTCCTCTTCTGAAGCTTATTCTTCTTCTACTTATTATTTCAGTCTAAAAACTGAAAAGATCTTCCCTGGGAAATCTTTCTTTCTCTTGTTTTCAACAGCCAATTTACCATCATATTTGGTCCAAGATTCTAATAATAGACCTACCTTTATATTGGTCCTAGAGGGCATTTCCCCTACTGGTTATTTGGAAACCATAAAGAATTAAACTTTTGGGTTTGGTGCATTAACATTTTGCTATAGTTACACAATATAAAGTTACATAATATAAAAGGTGTTATCTCTTTCAAAAATATATTTTAACCAACTGTTGCAAGGATTATACGATAGCATAGTACATATGAGCTATTAGAACAAAAATGTATCATAAATATCATGCAGTAACTTTTGGCCCCCTCCCCATAGTTTCCTATTAATCTCCACCTCTGAAAGCTATCCTTACCAAATTTGGAAAACAAAATTTGCTCACATTCATGACTAGTTCATTGAGCTCATTAGCAGAATTGTGTCAGTTTTCAAAGCAGCACTTCATTTTGACAACCGTTCAAAGGAAGCATTGAGTATCCCTAGCATGTTATGTTGGCATCGATGCAGCACAACTAAACCCTACCTAGGTTAGGACTAGAGTTTAATCCCTTCATCTGGATATTAAAATATTTGCCCTTGAATTCAGTGGAAAGATGCTGACTGCATGCCTGGAAGCTCTCGTTTAAGAGCCAAAATCTTTCATCAATTTTCTGGTGGGTCTAGGAAATCAGGTGAAAATGAATTTAGCCTTCTGGTTCTATACTAAATATCTGATCATAATTCAACAATGGTTAAAATAAACCTTGGTTTAACCTAACATGTAAAACTGTGCTTCCTTTCCATTTCAAGGAGTCCTATTAATTACTCCCAAATATATAAAATGAGGCGAGGCAATGCAATACTCTTAATTTATCCAACTGACATCTTATCCTTCTAACAGAATTCCAAGGCCACTAAAATAAAACCAAATTACTGCTAACACTTCTCAGTATTCTAAATATGTCAAATTGTACCCCTTTACTGTAAGTAATCTAATATTACTAATCATTCATTTGAAAAGCATCTCCAAAGAAATAAGCCCTAATGCATATAAAGTAAGATAAATAATTTAAAGCTCAAAATAACGAAAAACTGTGTTTTTATTGTTCACCTAAAGAAGTTTTACAATAAAAATACCTTTTAAAAGCAAGCAAGATGTTCTTCTTTTGTTCCAGCGTTCAGTTTCAAGCATTTCATGGAATTGTTTTAACAAAGCCAGAGGTGTAACTGGATAGATAATACAATGGCATCTTCTTTCCTTAGTTGTGTGAACAGCATTTTAATTGGTCACAATCTAAAGCAAACAATCCCTATCCATACTATCCAGTACACACAAAATAAAGAAAAGAAATAACTGCACTGGAACAAAATACCCCAAAAGACAAAGAAAAACCCATAGCAGAACTACACAGTGGTTAAGATATATTCCATCCTTTGATGATAAATTGTGCTCTATAACTAGATGGCAGGGGAAATTAACAGCACTAATTTGAAGGACAGGAAATACATTATCAAATATATATATATATATATATACTTAAATGAGATTTAATTAATTACTCATTAGTAATAAGGTGATGTCTCATTTGGTGAAGTGTTCAAGTTGATTTGGTAGGCAGGAAGAAGAGGAAAAAATGGGTATATTTAGCATTCTGTAACAATTTAAGAATTCATAGTTTTTGTAAACATCTTCATAACTGAAGTGTTTTACACTTGCACAATGTTAATCACTTTATTATACATGAACACCTGAAACGGGCCAATTACACAATAAGACCGCAAACAACCACTGGTATTTTTCTGCCTTCTGAAAGCCCCTAAGGCAGAAGTATCACCAAAAGTACATTTTAAAAATCTGCAAAAACATCACGAAAATTACATTTAAAAACTATTTTTTAAAAAAAAGAAAATCTGCAAAAAAAAGTGGTTCTGGACAGTGCAACTGCTTTTTAGCAGTTTTAAAATAGCCACTAGGTTCTCTAGCAGGTTTTTGTGGCTTCACAGGCTTTAATCAAGAGTCACCTATCATAAATAATGTACCACAAAATATACATTAATTTGAGCAAAAAATTCCTTAGGAAGATTCTGGCTACAAGAAACCAAATAGGTACCTGTCACATGGTTCATATGTTGAGGACAATCTCTGAATCCAAGTGTAGTCTCATGACCCAAGCCTACAAAGTCTTCTACACATCCTTAAAACCCACACGTAATCTGAATCCCACCCCATCCCAAAATGCAAGAGAATTTGTGGATGCAAATCCCAATGCACACTGGGAGACTTCCCTATGTACAACTAATTGTTCTTTACTGTATCTTATATAGAAAACTTTATAGACTTCTAAAATAAAAGGGGTATTCCATTGTTTTAACTCCTGATATCACGAGACATCTGAAAGTACATAATGTTATGTAATCTTCTGGAATGTACATCTTCTAAAATTCCAGCTGTTAAGCTAAGGGACAAGAAAAGAAATATCACAATCTTGGCAAACAAACTTGGTATACAAAACAGATGATTAAAAAAAGACAGCTTAAGATAATTTTAAAAAAATGAGCAAAGGTTGGAGGCCAACTGAACAGATTTTTAAAAATATATAATAAATAATGCATTCCAAAGTGTATATAAATTATTACTGTAATTTGAATTTGGGGCTACAATGACATCAAATTACTACTTCAAAATCCTCTTGTAGATTATACCATTAATATCTCTTTACAGAATTATAATCTTCTAAGGGCAGGGGGAAGGGAGATGGACATTATTTTTCTTAAAGCTATCATTCCAGGAAACATACCAAGGATCTGAGAGTAGCTATCCTAAAAATATGGAATGGGCATTATCCTCTGGAAAAGAAATAAAATAGTATGTTAAAAACTATAAACAAGCTTTAGGCAGCTAAATTCTCAGAATTTTATATCACCCAGATACAAGACAGCAATTTGCAAAGTCTTAGAACCCTTAGTTAAATGGCAGAGTAGAGTTACCACTTATTTGTAAATTCAGATCTCCAATACACCAACCGTGTACAGAATCGCCTTGCTTCATTACATTTTCCTGAGAGTAAAGCAATTAAACATAATCTTAATCCTAAAACAAAAGTGATTTTTTTTTGTCTTGGTTTTTAATATTTTTTTTTCTTTTTTGCAGTTGTAATTTTTGGGCTATTCCCTGACAAACTAAGTTAAGTAAGTTTGATTGCTAAACACTGTCCCATAAACACAAAAAAATGCAAACTATAATGTCTATTGATCTGATTAAAAATCATAATACAAACCAATCTAAAATTACATTAACAAAACTAAGTATGAAAAGTTGCATTGAAAGGGCGTGTTACATTATTTGTATTAGGATCGTGTAGAAACATTCCAATGGCAGTGTTATCAAAATAAAACTAACACATTAAGACCACCCCCTAAGCCTAGTCATACGTGAGACTCTACCTATAACTTTGGCTAGTTTGGGTCTTTACTCTCGTACTACATGGCTCACTAACATCAGACATTATATTTGAATACCCTGAGAAATCTGATACTGAAGTCCTTACTCTATGGTCCACTTCTCCATTAGAGTTAGCAATAAAAGTCATTGGCACCCTGCTGCCCGTCTTAAACTGAGAACCAAATGCTTGTGCAAAGGTCTCTATCTGATATGTTGCTCGATGTTCTAGGTCCTTCTGAGGATCTATCTGGTTAGCTAGCTCCTGAGATGGAATGGGAAAGCTTGTTGAAGTTTCTAGGGTTTTTTGTTCCTTCTGGCTATTCAGTTTTTGAGGTGTAGAATGATAGCCTGATGACGTGTCTATGCTTTTTTGAGAGTCTATCAGGTCATCTAGTTCTTGTGAAGGAGTCAACTGTTGATGGGTTGCCTCCAAAGCAGACAAATAAAAACCCGGCTGAGATCCAAGCAACATCCCAAAGGGAGGCTTTGACAATGCAGATGGCAACACTGAGGTAACGGATTGGCTGAAACCACACTCAAGTGGGGACGTAGTGTACACTTGTTTGTCTGGAAACAAACTATGGTTATGAAGGCTTGAAGATAAACTTACAAATTGAAAACTGGGACCAAAAGCAAAACCAGTGCTATTGGTTGTTCTTTCAAAAGCATGTTGGAGGTATTTTGAGTATTCTTGCAACATGCTTGCTTTGTCATTTGAAGCTGCCTGGGAACTGGGACTCATGTTCTCCTCTTGAACCATCTCTGTATGTTCTCCTGAAGCTTGTAAGTCCACACGCTGCTCAGCGATGCTGAAGGGATCTTCTTTCTGGCCTTCTGATTTGTGAGAGTACTGATCTAGAAGACTTTGCAAGACTTCATCAGGAATGCCAGACTTATCATGACAAGATTTGATGTCAGCATTAAGAGACGCTGGGTCAATAAGAGATAATGGGGTCTCACTGTCCATAACACTTACCCCTGCGGACTGAATAACAGACGGCTGGGAGGCCATATGCCCAACATTTATAGAAAAGGCACTGTTACTGCTGGCGGTTTGCAAATATCTTCTTTTCTTTGAAAACTGCATGGCATCATCATAATTGCTACTTATTTGACCTGATTTGCCACTTGCTGCTTGGAGAAGGCCAATAGCATCTACACTGGTATTTGCGACTAGGCCAAGAGAGCTACTTGGTTTTCCAGAAAATTGCTTCTGACCAAGAAGGTCTGGTAATGGCGACATAAAATTAAGAAAGCTCTTATCTGCACTTTTCCGGTTTCCTTTTTTAAAGATTAGTTTTGGCACCTTTTTCTGTAGCTCTTCCAACCCAGTGCCAATCAAGCCACCACTGGAAGACACTATTGGAATCTCTACTGCGTAATTCTGCAAGGACATATTAGATGCAATTTGAGATTCAGATATTTTATGACTAGGTTTATGTTCTTTGTTTTCAGTGGGTATACATTTTGCTTTGCTTTTTCTCTTTGATGAACCTGTATTTCCCTGAGACAACATAGACAAGTTGCCCATGCTATGATTTGATGGCCCAGGATCCATTCCAGCACCTGCTTTCCCTATGGCTTCTCCACATGTACGTCTGTGCTTCAAAAGTCTATCAGTTCTTGAAAAATACTGCTGACAGGTTTCACATTTGTATGGCTTTTCTCCGCTGTGCGTTCTCTTGTGCCTCTCCATGTGATACTTCTGGATGAATTTCATACTGCATTGGTCACATCCAAACGGCTTCTCCCTGCTATGGATTTTTTCGTGCCGTTGAAGCAAATACTTCTGAATGAAACCCATGTTGCACTGACTGCACTGGAAAGGCCTCTCACCAGTATGGATGAGCACATGCCTACGCAGATGATAGGAGCTCCTGAAGGCAGCATTACAGTGTTCACAGACATGAGGTTTCTGGCTAGGGGACAGCATGGCAGCTTCTCCATCTCCTGCCACAAGGGCCTTGGTTGAAGTGTTCGGCTTCTTCTTAGCTTTGTTTCCCTGAGATTCTGACTTTGGCCTCTTCACCTTCTTGGTCTGGGCATCGTGTTTAGGCTCATCTGAGCAAGAAGCACTTACTTCGCCACCGCTTCTGATGCCCAGTAACAAATCTCCTCTATGGGGATGATGATGCAGATGGTGAAAAAGACTGAGGTCCTGGATCACACTCTGGTTGGCCCCGTCCACTCCACCTCCTCCACCACCGTGAGTGGGATGCCTCTCCTCCCCAGCTATACCAAAGAGACCCCCATAATGGTGATGGTGGTGGTGGTGGTGGTGACGGTGCTGTTGCTGCTCTTCATCCTCTTGATCGCTGGGCTTCTCCTGTTTGATGTTCATCAAGGAATGGAAGAAACCCCAGGAGCTCCTCTGGGACGAGGACGAGGAGGAGGTGGCGGTGAGAGGAAACCCTCCTGTCGGCTCTTTCTTGAAAGTCATGCCCTGGGGGTGGGGAGGAGGCGGAGGGACAGGCGTCTCGGTGGCCGAGGCAGTGGTGGCGGTGGCAGAGGAGGAAGATGAAGAGGAGGATGAAGAAGAGGCGGCGGCGGTGGCAGAGACAGAAGTCAGCCCACAATGCTGCGGGGGCGCGGCCGGGCGAGTGAAACTAGTGACTGGCGGCAGGCGGTGATTGAACATGACCATGCTGGGGGGGAAGGTGGGCTCCATCGCCGTCCTCTTGGAAGAACCGCCGCCGCCGCTCAGGAAGCCGCTGCCGAGTTTCATGTTCCGCTCGTAGGCAGGAAGGGGAGCCGCAAAGCCGGGGGAAGAGAAAACAGGGAGGAGGCGCGGCCCGTAGGGGCTGCTTCTGCTGCCGGACCCCGCAGCTGCGCCGCTCGCTCGCTTTTGACTCACTCACTCACCCGCCGGCTGGCCGGCCGGCCCGGTCTCTTTCGCGCTCCGTGCTTTTTCACACTCGCTAGCCCCGCCAGTCACGGCCGCCGACAGCCGGGCGCATCCTTCGTCGCCGCTCGGCCCCACCCGGCCCAACCTCGTCCCGCCGCCTCCTCCGCCGCCGCTGCTTCCTCCTGACGGCCGCCGCCTCCAGTTAAAAATATCGCCACAATGGAATTAGCAGAGCCTCCTGGAAGGCCTTTACTGCACATGCGCCACGCGCGGCATGCTGGGAAGGATTGCCCAGTCAGGAGGGCACTAATGTTGGGGAGGCAGGAAGGCGCAGGCGCGGGTTGACCCCCTGCATCTCCCCCTCCCGCGCCCCCTCCCTCTGGTTCGTTCCCGCGAGCGCATTACCTCACTGTCAACGCGATCGAGCTATACTCGGTCGTTCCCGGCAGGGCGCTTGCTCCTTGCTCCATAAAGGGGCACCGGTGGCCGCGTTAGGGGCCACTTGGCCTCATGCATGTCCCATACCTCTCTCTCCCTCTCTCTCTCTCTCTATATATATATATATGAACCCAGTGTCACACGTATGCAGTTAACACGCGTGTCTGCATAGTTTCTAGATGTCTGGAGGGGAGCAGCATCCAGCTCACAGGCGGCCCAGGCGTTACAAATGTTCTTTTTGGATTTTGAATAATTGGGTGCATGTTCCTCAAGTGTAAATGGCACTGAATGCAAACGGGCTTCCCACGAAAGCATGCATGAAGTGTGGGAGAAACGCTATCACTTGTGTTTCCTGCAGCTAATCACTGAAGTCCATTACATGAGCAATACTTTTTTTTTGGCCAAATAAGGTTTAAATGTTGAAACGGCTGCTACTATATAGGTTCGAATTAGATAGGGGAAATACTTCCTGGCAAAACCAGTACTGTGTAACAGATCGCATTGACAATAGAAATTTTGAAAACTCTTCTGTCAATAGCATTTTTCAGTTATTGATGTGGTATCCAATTCAAATTGTGGACTTAAACTTAAGGAATCTCTAGTTCCTGCCATATTTCCTGCCTCATGTTCCTTCCCTGTTTACTTTTTAAAAGGGAGATGGAGATGTGATATCTAACAAACCTATTTTAACTGCCCACAAATCATGCCTGAGAGGCAATTTTATATAGTAGGTCACATCCACTTTGAAACTGTAAAGCCTTTAGGGAAAGGTGCCAGATGTAAAGAATACTAATAGAAAACACTTATCCTATATTCTGCATTTCTATCTGCTCTGCAGCTTTAAAACAATGTTAGTCTAATCACTATCCTAGAAAAGGGGAGTCACCGTCAAAGCTTCAGGATATATTTCTTTGTTCTGTCAACTGCCTGAGAAAAGCTAAGAGGTGTGCAAACAATTTTAAGTTCCTTCACAAATTAAAAGGCAACCTCTATAAAATTAAGTAAAGCAATATCAAAGAGCTATAGTTAGCATGAAACAAATTCGTAATGAAATATACCAAGTATAAGCGAGCAGAAATATGTTTCAACAGAGTTATTAAAATAATGTTGGTGCAAGTGTAGATTGAGAAATGTGTAAAGAATTAAAAAAAACATCACAAAATAACTTATTTAAATACGTCCTAATACAAGCCAATGTGGAAAGCAGCACTTCTCATTATTGTATTGATGTTCAATAGCCTCTGACTGCCTTTGCTGTTACTTTTCTAATTCAACATATTCCTGCTCTGAGCAATGTTTAGCTATGATTAGCTAAACATAGCTCACCTGTTTTTGCTTTTGCAACCCAAAATTTTATAAAGTTAAAGATTATATATGAAAAAAGGATGCTGAGCTGGAGTATATTTTATCTATACTGATTACATAGAGCCATCAAATCAGTCCAAACCTAGTTCATTTCTGTTTAGTTCAGATAATATTCCAGTGTTCTATTTGGCATAGGAATCTACTGTATTATAAACTTAGGGATAATACGTACCCTCCATTATACTGCAGGCCCTTCTTTAAATTTTCAGTGATCCTCTCCTTATGTCGACTTAAAAGTGGAAGCAATATTCTGTACAATTAGTTAATAAGGTGCAGCTACATCCAGCTTTCCATGTTCCAACAGCAAGTGCAATAGCACTTACATTAATCACATTATACAGAGGAAATTTCCTCTGGCTTCTATCACTCAATCTTATTAAAATCTGCTCCTGTAAAATTAATTGCTTTGAAAATCAAAACTATACAATATGAAATTATTCAATTAAATATATTTATAGGCAAATTCATGGGGACAAATGTGCTGTAAATTGTTTTCTCAGATAAAAGAGCAAACCCAAATTCAGAATTATTGAGCAAATATAAGGTGAACCTCAAAATATTCTTCAGTACAGCCAGCTAAAAAAAATGAATTACTCTAATTAAATTCTCTGTACATATTTGCTTGGGAATAAGTCCCACTAAACCAATTGGGATCTACTGAAAAAAATGATTAAACTGAAAGTGACATTATTTTTCCTCTCCTTCTTTTCCTCTTTTGGTTTTGCTATTAGATCACCAGTCAGGGTATAATAAAATTAGAAATGATTTTCTCCAACAGTTTATAACATATGTTCATCCATCTATGTAAATCACGTCAGAATCTTTTAGGCAAATCAAACGTAACATCTGCAGCTGATTACCAAGGAAAGATTAAACATTCATCTACAGTATTTCTGTCCTATCTTCAAGCCAAGAGATCAAATTATCTGGCACAAGATTGCCTGATATACTCACAAAAGTCTGACATGGTATGTACATGCAGCCATGAAAATATATCTCTAGCATATGCAAAGAAGGCAATCCAAAGTGTCAGTGATCCAACTGAATTTGCATGCTGTATCATGATACCAAAGCCTAGAAGCAGGGGTGTCAAACTGCCGGCCTACAGGCCGGCTGCATCATACGGTGGCTGCGACCATCCCAGCTGCGACCATCCCAGCAATGCAAAAAAAGTCATGATACATCGCAACATGTCACGCGCTGCAAGTTTGACACCCGTGGCCTAGAGCATTTACATATATACATTCTGAACCAGTGTGAGACTTCATGACAATATTTGTGCCATCCCTCTTCTTCATAAATAATGTGGGAAACTTCATCTACTGGATATAACCTGTACTCTAAGTTTGAGAAGTTTTAAGACTGCCAAGTGTAGTGAAGTGTTAAAAAGACTGAGAATTCAAAAACTTAAAGCAGCAGTAAAATATTAGTCAATGTCTATGAGAAATGAGTCTGTCCCTTCATTCAGGGTGTATGTATTTAATGGTAAGCTGGGATGCATATAAGCTAGTCCAAGCATGAAGGGCAGTAGGACACCCATATGGGAAGCCAAGTTTGTCCCTCAGTTATCAAGATAAGAAACCTGTCATTTCTCTCATTCACTCTGTCAGCCTTGAGATACTCTGAGCAGACTTACCTCTGTGTTGTACACTCCATATATCAGGAAGATGAAGAGACCCTGTAAAATAAAATGGAGGGAAAAAGCTGTTAACTCTAATCATTTCAGCAGTAGAAATACCTGAAATAAACTTTCCTGGGAACAGACAAAAGAAGACACACTTCATCAAGGTCAATTTATTTTTCTATTTTTCAACATTATAAAGTGCACCTTGAGCATTTATTTGATAACATGGGAGTGAACTGTGTACTGTAGTTGTGCTGTTGAACAATTTGGCATAAGAGAGATCAAAGATCTAAAATATTCATTAGAGAAATGCACACAATATCTAAATAATGCATCATAAAATGAATAATACTTAATGTTTAACAAAAAGCTTAATAAAATTTTGCAATTGTAGCTCAGGAGGCACAATATATACATTATTAAACTATGCTTGAAAAATACTCAGTATTGACTACTGCCTAAAACATATTTCAGTAGCTTTAAAAACTAAAAAGTGAGACCAAATTGGCTCATTTTTTACTTCAACAAATCTTATTGTCAGGCTTAATAGACTAATAGATTTGTAACCAAAGTATCATTCACAAAAAAAGATTACAATACAATATATTTTAATCAAGAGAACCTATTTTCTTAGACTAAAGAAACATACACAAAAGAGAACTGAGTTGAATTATGAATTTGTTTAAATATTTGCTCAAATTTCTGCACTTTCAAAATTAAGTCCTCAAACTATGCAAAACAGTACTAAATTCACCTAAATTTTAAGCAAAACATAATATAAATAATGTACACACTGTTTTTATAGCAAGAATCACTTCTGATTTTTCCATATAATTGTCTGAAAAAATATGTGAAGACTGACATAATGTCATGGATACAAGGGTTTGTCACAAATTGCATGGCTATCTTCCATATTGTGGCTTTTTAAAAATTATTTTCTCCAAATATAAACACTACAGTGTTCATAGATAAAGAAGGAATAGCTAGTAAAATGTATTCAAAAACCTGCATACAGTTTTATAGGTTTGAAAATTACTTCAACATCAAAAAGCAGTAATCTGCAGGATTCTGCACAAATGATCTACTTCAAATACTCTTAAATAAGAAATAATTCCAGTTGTGTGAGAAAAACAGTGAATTCTGACAAAAAGGCTCAACTGATTGCATCACAATTTTAAAACATGCTTTCTAAGAAATAAGCACTCTTCAGCACAGTGGACCTTCTGAGTAAACCTATTACACTCAGTGTCTCCATTACATGCTTTGTGGTAAATTGGAAAGTTTTAAAGATGCCACAATACTCTACAGCAATGGTGGCGAATCTATGGCACGGGTGCCAGAGGCGGCACTCAGAGCCCTCTCTGTGGGCACACGCGCCGTCGCCCCAGTCCTAGGCCTTCCGCTGGGTTTTATAAAACCTTTTCACTTTAGGCCTCCGCCGCCGTATGCAAAA